AATCGAAACTCAGCTCTAAAAACCCCAAGAAAATATTCTCTTAACAAGAACACACTCCTGCAAAACTCCAAAGTTTTAGCTTCCTTACTATGAACTTTGGAAATTCTATACCGAACAATGACTTTCTTGCCCCAGGCTGTATTTGCCTTTCCCCTAAAGTGAATGCATGTTTCAAGGGATAGAGATCAACAGAATAAACATAGGTTATGTGAAAGCAATACACACTAGTTTGATATTTTTCAAAAGTATCCTTAGAACACTGAAGAATTTGGATTTTTGTAAACAATAGGGAGCTACCAAGTTTCTGGGAAGCAGAGCAAGTGAAAATGTATAAGGTGCAAGATGCTCTTCCTTCATGTACTGACTTGTCTTGCTGCTCCTGACGTCATCCCTCCTGGTGTCCTTATCTGTATCCCACCCAGAAACCCCCTCCTCTCTTTTTTTAATACCCAAGAACATGCTTTATGGATTTGAGAGAGAGAGAGAGAAACATCGATGTGAGAGAAACGTGCATCAGTTGCCTCTCATGTGCGTCCTGACCAGAGAGGGACCTGCAACCCAGCTCTGTGCCCTGACTGGGAATCGGAACCGCAGCCTTTTGGTACAGACGATGCTCCCACCAGCTGAGCTTCCTGGCCAGGGCCACCCCCTCCTCCTTTAATCCTAAATCTGTGTTTCTGTCCCTTGCCTGACCCCAGTCCTTGACTATGCCATTACTCAATGATTCACTCGCCTTCTTTAGTATATGGACTATTCTGGTTAATCTTACCAGACGGGAAAGCATGAAGGACCTAAGCCCTCCTCCCAACAACATAACCAGATAATCATTCAAACCTTTTTCAAACTTAACGGGATTCCTACCTTGGTAATGAAATTAACTACCTTGCACAGGCAAATGCAAGACTTCAAGAAATAAAAGGGTCGTTTTGGGACAATGCCCACCCTGGTTCAAGGAATCAGGTACAGTCTCACCTGAAGGAAACGCCCTGGTAAGTACCGAGTAGCACCACAGTGTCCCAAACTCTGTACTGTTAGTCCCCAAATAGATCTACTCCTTAGTTTAAAAAGCATGACAAACTAAAAAGAATGTATTAAAAATAGACTTTGGCATGAGAAACTAAAAACATTATTATGAATATTTAATATCAATAAACTCAAGACACTATTTGATGATATGTGTAACTCCATGGTGCTGCAAAGGAGTCAAGACCGGGCCCAGTGATCGGCCGTGGTCCATGACTGTTGTATGGCCCCAGGAATGTTCAGGATCAGTTTGAAAAGTTACCAGGGTCACTCAGGGATTCAGGTGGGCTAGGCGCTCTGGATGCTTCCAAAGAGGTGATTGTTTCCTCCCTGTGTCAGAAGCCAAGGAGGGCTGACTCTGGACACTGGGCTCCATCAGGCAGGAGAATGGAGGGTGATGGTGGGGTGGACATCTCACCCGCCACTCCAGAGGAGAAACCAGTGCCCTCCTCACTGGGTGGTGACAAGGTCGGAACTAGCCCGATCTGGGCTTCAGGTTCTGAGGTAAGAAGGTGGTGGGAGGAGGAAGTGAAATAGGGGGAGACGATGTGGGGAAAGGAAGCTGAGACTCCCCTCCCTTCACTCTTCCGGTTCAAGAATGTAAGGTTTTCCCAGAGGGATCCCAGAGAGTCACTCTATCTGCATGAGCCGTGCTACTAGGAAGATCTAAGTTTAAACTTTTCCAATTAATACTGAGATGCTTACAATTTACTTAATCACTTACAATTTACTCAATCCGAGTTCTCAAGTAAAATTGCAATCATTTCACCTACCTTAAGTAAGGTAGGTACCTAAAATAAAACAAGCACTGAATATATTAAGTAGTGGAACTTCACATATGGCCTGAGTTTATAAAATCCCCTTAACTAATGATTCATTTTTATTAGATACTCTCCTGAGAAGACTAAGCAATGGCCGAGCTTTCATTGATTCATACAGTAGTGCGATCTCTTTAACCAAATTGCAGGAAAACAAGAGGAGGGCCCAAGAAAGTGTTTTACAGCATGAGCTGCTTTGCAAATGGGCATGTGTGAAGTGCCACAACACGGGCTTGGACAGAGTCACAGGCCATCGGAAAGACCCTAGGCTCTGGGAACTGGGGGAAAATGAGACACATCAGAGAAGTGAGGAGAGTTGGCTCCCATGTCTGTTCCTTCTCCTCCCCCCTCATCCATCACCTGACTCTATATAAAATTGTGAAGCCGATGGAAAGATGGATAAACACTATTGGTCCTATAGTAAGGCCACCCCCAAAATGGGGCTCCTTCTAAGAAAAATCCCAGGATGAAGAGTTTAGGTAAAACAAATGATATGTACTTATCTCCATGCTCTCCGTGTATATGGGCAGCTTGATAATAGTAATGCTGCCAGACAGTGAACTAACCAGCTTGGGAATAACTTTGGATACATGATTCTCACGCTCAGATCTGATATCTGGGAGATGAGCGGGGATCAACGCACAAGGGATGGTAGTTACCTCTTGCCCACATCACCAAGTCCCCATACCTGGGCTTATCTTGAGGCTAATCTAGCCTCGCTCATGCTGAAGAGACTGAAAGATCAAGAAGATCCCTTGACTCAGTGCTCAAAGAATGGTTAACCTCCCCATACTGCAAGTCGTTGAAAGTCTGGGAGAGCCTCAACCCTTGGGACCAGCAGAACATGTAGGGTATTCCAAGTGCCACCACCCATATTTAAAACTGGGATCCACATAAGGGAAATCCTAGTAAGATGCCACCTGGCATTTATACCTAGCATTTGCATTGTAGAGAACTGAACAACCATGCACCAAATTTGCCCACGAGCTCCCACAGGACTGGCAGTGGGAAAATAAATCAGTCAGAAGGTAGGAGGATGTCCTTCCGGAGGAAATGCCCATACCATGTGGAAATCTGATGGCGCCTAGATATCCCCAGATAGTCCTGCTCTGGCCCAGAGTGATACTTTCCTGGAGAGTTGTATTTCCTGTGACAGGACCTGAGTTCATGGATGCTGGGTGTCCATTTGACAATGAAAGGCAATGAGCCAGACTGATATTAGACAGTAACATTAAACTCTATAGTTTCTGGTCATACCTCCATGTTACCTTCCCATCTCTCTGGAAGACTAGAACAAGCAATATTCATTTCTACTCTATTGCCTAAAGAGAAAGTTGTTTCTACAGCCATAGTGTGAGCTTCCTTCTGAGCTTATCTGCCCACTACGTCAATTTCCTTGTAGTTACCAAAGGAGAAAAGCAGCAGAGTCCTCTAGCTCTTCCCTCTGCTGGGAGCAGGGCTGCTCCATTAGTTCAGGATGTTAATTCTGAACCCTGAGACTCAAAGACATTAACCTAGCTGGACCCAAATCCACAGTGATTTCGTCTACTAGCTAAGTTGAGTGGTGGGTGAATTCTTCAGTAAACAAATTAGCCTCAAAAGCTGCCATTTGCTGCCCGGACTGGTGTGGCTCAATGGGTTGGGCATCAGCCCATAAGCCAAAACATCACCAGTTCATTTGTGGTCAGGGCACATGCCTGGGTTGCAGGCCAGGTTCCTGGTCAGGAAGGTTAGGAGCATGCAAGAGGTGACTGATCGATATTTCTCTCCCTTTCTTCCTCCTTTCCCCTCTCTAAAAATCATTTCAAAGCTACCAGTTACTTAGCTTCTCCTATAAAGATTCACCGACTTTATCATCATTCTCAAACGTAACAAGCGGGAGCACTCCCACAGCTCTGGAACATAGCTTTTGGTACGAAAGGTGCCAGTACAAAGGCAGTAACAGCCTTCCCTTCCTGGGAAACCAGGCATGAGGAGGAGGATAGGGCCAATGTTCTAGCACTTGTCTGGGTACCCACCCTGCTGGTGGTTAACAAATCCCAGACCTGTTTCCACAGTAAGCTGAGAATGCCACCAGGGCCCTTCAAAATGCTGGCTCTTGTCATTTTCAATCTCTCTGTTTTGGATGTCTCTTGCACTGCAGGTCCAAATTATCATGATTTTTACATATTTCCTAGGTCTCATTCCTGATTTCTCCCTATCTTGTCTATTAGCAGCACCAAAACGGCAGGGCACCGGAGCGGCTGAGACGCGCCGCTCCTGCCTTTGCCTTCTCTGTGCTCACTCCAAAATGGGGGTCAGCAGGGGAGCAAGAATGATTTCGTTTATTTCCCACTCTAACCACAAGTCTCTATTTGCCCCACAAAATTCTACTAAAGCTTTTCTTTCTAATCATTCTTTTAGACATGTGTGCCTGTCCTTAGGACTTGACCAATACATGTTCTTTTGCTTATAGTGGTCTTCCCAAACTTCCATCATGTAAACTTGGACTTTCTCATTTCTACCCCTCTGACTTTCATTGCTTCTCTCTCCATTTGGTTTCCACATTCACCTATGATAGACATTTACATATATACGTGTAAAACAACTTTCTTCAAAGTGTATATACAGTCTTATGCCAGAGAGGCCGGAGGCCACTTTCTGTGCACACTCTCTCTTCATCACCCAGAGGGTCACGCAGAAAAGATGGCCAGTGACAACTGGCTGATTTCCTGTCCTTCAACCTGCACTGCAGTTAAACCAGCATGGTGGGGCACAAATGCTTATACAACTCTCCTAAAGTAATGTATTTCATTTTAATTGAGTCTTTATTACTACAAAATTCAATTCTCTTCAAGTGCATGCACTTCCCAAAAGACAGGCCACCATACTGGAAAAATTATACTGATTTAAGTCTCCTTGTACCAAATGGTTTGCAAAAGATGTTTCTTTTCTTTTTTTGCCTTTTTAAGATTTAGAGTCTCAAATGTCAGTCCCAATTTTTTTTAAATTTGTTTCAATAATAAAAAATAAAGCTTACATTTGATTATTTAAACATAAACAGTAGGATTATTTAAAGAAAACACAGGTGGGCATTTTTCTTAGGTTTGAGTATGTGTTATTACTGATGCAATAACTTACAACTAGTGTTATTAAACCACTACCACTTGTGGTACTTACCTTTAATCTGATGAAATTGTTTAACCAGATCTTTTATATCCAGAGAAGCATTTCCTGAAGGGATAAATACAGGAAATCAGATACAAAAATCTCCCAACTTAAAATGCTTTTTCACAGCAACAAATATATAATCTAAAGCAATTACAAACCTTCTCTAAACATAATAAGTTCTTCAAAGTAAACTGCTGCAAACTGGGTGATGTTTGGCGGATTGGTTTTGAGAACGGCTCTGCTAACTCCCTCAAGCAGAGTCTTGAGGCCATAAGGTACGACGAGTCTGGGCTTTGAATAAAACATTTTGGCAGGATGTCTATAATCTCCACTGTGATGAAGAAAAAACAAAGTCTTATAAAGAGTGTATTAGTTTTTCTTAAGACATTCCTTATGAGTTAACTATAGCTTCAAAGAACAATCTATCTCTTATTAAAATCATTAGCTTTAGTTTTGTCAGTACTTTTTCTAGCAAAATGGGCTAATTCTTAATGGTAGTTTTTTAAAAACCACGTTCCCAATAGCGTTCAATGCACAGGTGAGCAGTCTAGTACTGTTTACAGAAATCCATGGGAAAAGCCCTGCCAGGAACCCCAGAATATTAAAAACAAAGAATGAAAAAGCAACCAAACGAAACCTGTCTTTGTAAAATTCAGTAAATACTTTGTGCAAGAAAATTTCAAGAAAAATATTTCGAGCTCATTTATCTGTGTCCAAACAACATGCTTCCAAACCACATGGGCTCTGGCTTTTCTGTGCAGCACAAAGTAGAGCTACAAAGCAGGGTTCCTCAAGAAAATGCCCCCCCACACACTATTTTCCTAAAATGTACCTGGACACATTGATCATATTGAAGGACACATTTTTAAGTTCTTTAAACAACCAGAATAGGTGTCAGTTACATGTAGTATTACACCACTCACCGCCACGTACATCTCTCTCTATCCTCCCTTAACCTAGTTTTCTCCCCTCTGCCCCTCCCGCTTTCTGGATTTTGAGTGGTAGCAAGGTACTGCATAGTCTAACCTGTAGTTCCCAGGGTCCCAGAGGCTGCCACTCTGAACTGTGTGTCCCTGTGTGTGTACATTGTTTCATCCCAAAAACTGACTTAAGAAGGTTTATAAATACAACACAATTAAAAAGAAATCAGTCCAGATAAAGAAAAAAGTTATTGTAGGAAAAACAGGCTGAAGCTACAGGTAAGGTTAGTATTCCCATACAAGCCATATAGGTCAGGGTGTCAAATCAGTCCCTGAGCTACCAAGCAGCCATCACAAAACAGACAATGGTTAGGTTAAGTGATTCAGGTTCCCTGAGATTTAAAAAAAAAAAAAAAAAAATCAGTTGCTTAGGAGAATCAGAGCTATTCTGGACACTGGGACCCAGGAGAAATTTCTCCCATGGGCCCTCAGACAGAGAAGAGCAGTGTGTGATATAATGAACCGTGTCCTCAACAACATCCCCACAGTAAATAGAGTAATGAGTTCCATGGGGTTAAGTGGCAGTTTCGGTACAGCAATTATACAGGAGCCAATCTCTAAAAAAAAGCAACTAAGGTAACATAGCGTAATTTTGAAAGCAGATTTATTTTGTACTTTTTTTTTAAATAAAAAAAATACATTTCATCTTCCCCAAGATCAGGGGAAAAAATAAATCTGGATTGGCTAGAGAATATAATTAAATGCATTGAATACCTAAATAAAAATTTACTATTAGAATATCATCTAACGGGAGCTTTACTGAATGAAACCACCTTTAAAAACTAGTAGGGCAGCTTTGGCAGACGCAATACTAAAATGTTAAGGGACCCAGGTAATTACATGTATGACACATACATGCATGTGTGTACAATTCTTGTTTTTAAAGGACACCCTTTGCACCCTAGTATGAGCAGATAGGTCATGTTTTGAAAGTGTCTTACCAGTTGGCGGCTACCAACTGCTGGGCAATTAGCTATGCAGTGATCCTAATATTTCTCAAGCTAGGCGGCATGCAGCGCCCTCACCCCACTCCTTGACAATGTGCGGGGCCATTTAGTGCCCCAGGACCGGAACGAGCATTTTACATTGCAACCCCATACAAGGAATTGTCCACAAGTTGAGAAATACTGTGACACCAAGAGTAAAGTCATCAGTACAGACATCAAAGGTTGTTTAACGTGATAGTTTAATAATTCCGCCCCTAAAGTCTCCTTTAAAGAACATGCGGCAACAACTAACAAATGTTACAACCCTCCAGCCCCCCCCCGCGCCAAACTAACTTTCCTTTCCTCCCTACCCCAGGGGTAACGCTTGCGCGGGGACAACAGTGCCTTTGGCTGGGGATGCCAGAGCACGGAATCGGAGAGAGCCACAGAGAACATACCCGGCACGCACCATTCACTCCCTAAAGGCCTACTCCCGGGCCTCTGGGCCCCGCTGGGTCTGGGCTCGGGTTTTTGCCCTTTAGTTTGGCGGAGCAGGCAGTGAGATGGGAGAGCGAGGGTTTCGAGTTGTGGTCAACTAGGCTCAGGAGAGGCTGGGTGGATGTGCCCACCCCGCCCCAAGGGCCGCCCCTCCTGTGGCCCTCCGCCTTCCCTGACACTTGAAGAATCCACCGTTCAAGACAATTTGAGGTCCTAACTGTCGCCTAACTGCCTCGGGGCGCAGGGAGACTCGCCCCACCTTCTCCTTTTCGGCTGAGTTCTAATGTGCTTCCTCCTTGCCTCCTTGCAGGCGGCTCCTGGAGCAGTCAGCCCCTCCCGGCCTTTTATACCCCTGGGGGACGTCAGGGCCTGCGTCACAAAAAGCCCCGCCCCCATGCGGCTGCCGGGGACAGCCTAAAAGAAGGCGTGGCCCCAGCGGCCTCAGCCAATGGGGAGTCGAAAAGGGACAAAGGTCAGAATCTTGCAGGCCAGGGAGGTATGCTTCCAACTTTTCTAATTGCCTGGAGTCCAGGAGTAGAGCAACACGAAGGTCTCTCCACTTTCGGTCACTCAACCTGAAATAAGGGCTGATCTGTGAAAAATGAGAAATACGCTTATGGCAGCCTTAGCTCTCCGCTACCTCCTCTCCTCGTCGCACTACCCCTCCCCCCATAATGTTATTCTTCACCTTTTGGAAAAACAATTTCTGAAACGGTGTACACAAGAAACACTAGTGTAAAAAGAATAATTTTATTTAACACAGCACTTTTCCTCTTGAGAAACCAGCCTGTGGAAACAAAATGAGCATTAATCCTGAAGCTTCCTGTTTCTCTGTAACTCGGATTCTTGCAGTAGCGCAACCACAACCTATCCTCCCTAAACCCTATGTTCACCAGCAACGGGCTGCAAGTCAACAAGCACTGTGCCACATCAGCTCAGTTTTACCCAACTGAAGCAACGCGGACTCGCTTAAAATACCCACTCTTTGCTCTTTTCACCCCTTTGGGCTCACATATTTGTACCAGGCATCAAACACCACCATAATCATCATGGTAATTCAGTTAAATGTTTAAAAAGCAATGAGAACTACTAGAAATCAAACATTAAATATCACTGGGGCATATATTTGACAAACAAGAAAAACCCCGAACTTCTTCAATTCAGGAAAAACTAAGGCCTCCAGAGCACTTTGCAGTGGTGATGTTGAAGCCCCAAGTCTGTGCCTATACTACACACAACGTTTTCTGGAGATATTAATTCACTCGTTTAATAATTATTACCAAGTGCCCATTGTTAGCAGCCAAGCTCCCTCTTGTGAAGATTACATTTTGAAAGTAAAGGGAAAACGCTCTTTTAGACTTTGTTGTGGTGATAGGTTTGAAGATGGTACTTAAAAAAAAAAAGTCCCAGGTGCAAACAGTAGAGATTCCATTTATGGTGTCTTTTGGAATTAGAGACTTTTATGCTTGTATAGCTTAAACTGGTCGGTCATCTTGACACCTACTAGCTGTTAGGTGCTGTGCAGAATACCTGTAACTCAGAACTCAGAAAGCCAGCCTTTATTCTTCCCACATTTCTTCCAAGTTGGTTTGGTCCAAGTTCCTCTGAAAATCAAATTGTTACAGTGAAACATTTAACCAAAAATTTTCAAACCATTTCAGGCTGCTTTAATGTCTAGAACTCCTAATGATTTCATGTGGTTTCCCAACCTTCTCATCCTTGGATCCCTCTCCCTTTCAGGGAGAGCTAACCAAAATGTGACTATATAAAGCCAGTCCCCATTACTCCTGACCCCACCCCCAATCCTTACTCTACAGAAGTCTAAGGCTTTTGTTGTGACTTCAAGTACTAACTCCTTTAGCATTTGCTTCCCACTTGACTCTCTAGAGACTGGTCCTGAACACACACTTGTTATCATCTCTATGCCTTTGTTCACCAGGTTCAAAGCCTGAGACATCCTCCTCAGCTCAGGAATCTCCTAGTGTAGAAAGCCAGTGGGTTAGAAGCATTTCCTCAGTGGCCCCATGATATACATTGTCTTTAAGCATAACCTGGCTACATGGCTCAGTTTGTGTTCGACTCTTCTCTCAGATTTACTAAATATTTACCAAGAGATGACAACGTAGGGCATTTTTTTCTCTAATTTAGACGACCTGCATTAAAATCATCCCAGGAGCTTGTTAAAAACACTCTCGTGAGCCCTACCCAGAACCTACTGAATCAGAATCTCAGCAAGGACCACTCTGTAAAAGTAAAACTTGAGAACCACTGGCCTGTGGGAGGAGAAGTGTAACCCAGAGCTCACCTGGGTTGCAAGTTCATGGTTTCTATTTCATACCCCAGTCAATGAGGAGCTGGGGCTCAGTACTCTTGCTAGTTTTCGTAAGGAGGCCAATTTTACACTGTGAACTGAGTAATCTTGCACTTTACTCTTTTATGGACTTTCCATTCTCTTGCTCTCCTTATCCTTTTCTCTCTCTTCTTCCTGTCTTCCAACGCTCCTCCCTCTACTATTATCTTCTTAGGATAACCTGGGTTCAGTGATGCCTTGTTTCCTACAAAATACAGCACCAACAGGATAAAAACCAAATACTACACACCGCCACTCTGTGAATGCGTATCTCCATAGCTTTGGAGCTATATCTGAGTACTTGCCACCACAATCCGGTTAAGGAAGTAATCAACCATGAAAGTTTACATAGCAAAGGAATAAACACACCTGTGTATTAAAAATAAGGTATACAAAAAAAAATAAAAATAAGGTATACATTATCCTTCCACTTTAGTTGGCAGAAGAGCAAATTCTGTAATTAATTGACCTACACAATGTGCAACAATATTCTAATTTCCTGTGATATCTGAAAGTAGTAACTCTTTACTCAAATACTTATCTGTGCTAAAATACAAAAGGTACCTAACCCAATAAAAGGAAAATCTTACATATATTAACCACCAAGTTGCGTATCATTAGACCATGCCTCCAAGAGTGTCAGATTACAAATGTGTCCAGAGTACATAAAATACACATTACAAATTTCTCTCATTATAGGCACGAGCTATTACAAAAATATACTTGCCACTCATAAATTAGAAGATCCATCTGAGAGCCTCCAACATGGAAAAGAGTTAGCAGTGATGCCGACATTGAAAAAGCACACATCCATACAAAGAGTTCCGCTTCTATGGTTATTTTCTTCATCTGCACGGGGTAAAGAGCAGTTTACACCAAACTCAGTTTGCAGACAGATCACGGTAGTTCACAGGGTGGGCAAGTCACGGTATGCAGGCCAGAGAGCTGCTGGAATCACTCAACTTAAAACATGTGCTCAGTCATCTAATGGTACCTGGACTGGCACTGTGGCCTTGTAAGAGTCTTTTTCTTTTTAAATATATTATTTATTTATTTATTGAGAGAGGGGAAGGGAAGGAGAAAGAGTGGGAGAGAAATATCAATGTATGGTTGCCTCTCATTTGTCCCCTGCTGGGAACTGGCCTGCAACCCAGGCATATGCCCTGACTGGGAATCGAACCGCGATACTCTGGTTCGCAGGCCCGCGCTCAATCCACTGAGCTATGCCAGTCAGGGCTGTAAGAGTCTTTAGAATCACCAGCTACACCCACTTCGGGCTCTACCATGAGATAAGATACAAAAACCCCAGGCGCTATCCTGCACCAGACCTAGGAGAGACCGTTTATAAACAGGCTTGTTCTTTCACTGCTAAAGAAAAACCTCCTGGATGGTGTTGTAAAGTCTCTATTCTGTTATGTGAACTCAACACAAACTTATTTGAAATACTGAAAACTCTCTAGAGAAATAAGCATTTTTAAAAGCAGTTTTTTAAATAGCTTTTTAAAAAACTATGAAGTGCGGGTGTTTATGTGATCTCTTTCTGAATAGTTCAAACATCTGAACGAAAATTCAAGTGGGAACTCTAAAGCAAGAAATTCATGATTCGGAAATGCTGCACAAACCCGAGAAGCCTGCCTCATAGCCTATAGCCAAGAGGACAACAAACTGCCCAAAGGCACATGTATGTTAATGATTCATAATGTTTTTCTCTTCAGAAACCATCTACTTGGCTTCTCAGTCTCCTTACTCTCCGGATGCAGGGTCGCGGTCCTTTCTCTCTCACACATAACGTCCACGCAGGACTCATGCCAGAAAGTGAATAAACACGCTGGAAGTGAGCAAATGAGACGGTTTAGCCAAAGTCAGTGGAGAAAAATCATTTCATTCAAAGAAATTATTATCCCTTCAAAACTAGATTAAGCAGATTAAACCTGCCAACATTCTAAGCTGCTCCGCCCATGTTTTATTTTTAAAAGTATTAAAGTATTAACATTGCCTAAGATTAGGCTTCAGCTAGAAGGCTATCTAAAGAACACCCGAGATGATACACTGCAGCTCAATATAGTTTTTTAAAATATGACCTTAAGATTGAGCCAAGTTAGTCACACAATTATAGTAGAAAGTCCTACGTGACTGAGGTATTTTGATTCTTCAAAACCACAGGTGTGCAGTACTAAATGGACAAAGATGTAAATTCAATGACAATTAAAATTAGCAACAAAGGATAAAAATAACTTTGAACCCCTTTTATAATAATATCAAGTGACCTGAGCTAAGGGAAAAACATGAAATTCTGGCCCAGTAAAAGATAACCCAGTAAATTCTTCACCAGCAAATATTTGAGGCCAAAAAAAAAAACAAACCCTAAACCCAAAACCAAAACCCTATGTTCACTCAAGAATAACCTTTTCAAGTAATATGTTAAAAGATTTCCAAAAGTTAGTAATTGCATAATTTATCACAAAGAAAGGAAAACTCCTAAAATGTACGCATGTATTTATCTAGTTATAGACTGAGCTTTCTCATAAATTAGCAAAACAACTAAACCTTTGGTTATAAAACTATCCTCCACTTGCTTCTACTTGGTTGACTTTCAAAGGAAAAAAAATCACCACTTTAAAACATTTTGTAGACAACTTGAAGATAAGTATTTTGAAGACACAACTTCAACTGAAGGGCAATTTTTTTAATAAGGAAAACATGGACTTCTGGGTTATTAACATATATTTTTACACTAAAAGAAAACTCGCTTCAAGGTCCGGAGACCTGCGTTCTACTCGCCGCTGCACTCATGGGGTCAAAAGTCAGCTGGCCCCCGGTGCCTGCGATCCATGGTCTGGACGGTGGGGATGCAGACACCTGGGCCACGCTATTCACAGGAGAACTGTGACGGCAAATAAAACACCAGAAAGCACTTTTATTTTGTTCAAAACACAATATAAACGCTATGTCGTGATACTGTTAACCATTTCACAGGTGCCTCTCAGTGTTCCCAGTCAGATGTGTGCTTAAAGTAGGCGTTCCTACAAGATCACAGGTTGAATATTTAGCTGGATTTTATTTTAAAAATAATAAGTCACAAAACTAAAATGTTTGAACAAGGGCACTTAACCCTCTCCCCAGGTGGTGAGTCGTAATTACTATTATCATCATTATTGTTACTTTTTAGCTAGATCTTTACTATGTCAGCCTAACGGGGAATATGTGTCCCTGGCACAGGTGGTTTTCAAATGAAAAGCCGGTCTTCACGTGTCCTCTGCTTTTGTTTTAAAGTGCGGAACCCAGGTGGGAAGAGGCGGAGAGGAACCCGGGGTCCGTCACTGAGGAGCCAGCTCCCTCAGAGAGGCCAGGGCGGCATGGATGCGGACATGCAGTCTGTTCTCAAAGTCGTAGCCAGAGAAGTCCTCCTGCAAGACCAAAGACAGACACGTAAGGACGCTCTCGGCTAACCTTCCTGAAAGATGGCAGTTTCAACCTCACCACGTTCTGTGCTCCCAAAGGAAACCCCTCACGCTCCAAAGGCTTTACACCCACCGATTTTCTTCTTACTTCCCAATGTTAAAGTGTGTGTTCATTGTTAAAATGCCCACTGAATGTCGCTGATGCTGTCTTTGTAAAATTTTCCTCATCTGACTCCTGACACAGTAGTCTTGGTTTGTGCTTGATGTCAGTTGCACTCAAGAATGTAGTTATGAAATATCAAAAGTTATTTCCCAAATTAGAAGAGTGTTTATAAAGCAGAATGAGCAATTCCACAGGACTGTCTTAGGGTAGTTGTAATTTCACTTAAAACTCAAGTGCTTGTTGATTCAATCATTACCACTTTTCCTCTTCAGAAATTTCCATCAGAACAATCAGTTCAAAGAATTTCTTGAATTCAGACTCAAGTGCACTACAGACTTAGGCCCACTAGGATGAGGGAGATTCAGTGTTTTTACCTTTGCTTGAAGAAGTAGGGTTCTGCCTCTTGCTGCAGTCTATGAATGTAAACAAAAATACCTCTTACTACCTGTGTTTATAGAGACTCAAGCAGAAAGTGTTATAATAGGATATGTTAATCAAAACAGTTCATAGTAGTCACAGAAGTGACTCAACCACACATTAAAGTGAGACTCAATTTTTCTTTAATATACTAAGTTCTCATAAAGGAATGACTTGATGATAATTTTTCAGAATCTTCACTATAATCCTATAAATGATAACAACTTATAAGAGTTATAATAGTTTTAGACATTACTAAGTGACCTAAAATTGGTGATAGTTAAAAGGTTTATTTGAGGTTGGTAAGTTACAGCTCCTTATATATTTAAGGGCTACATATTTAAGGGGTATGCTACAATCATTTCCATTGATTCGACTTAACTTTTAGAAGGTCCATATATTCGAAAATTGAGTTGGATTTACTAAACATTAGAATTTACAAAGCCAATATTAGGTAACTGAGCTTCCAAAGGAAGGTACCAGGCAAGTCCGGCACCACCGAAACCCCGTTTTTTCTAAAATCTGCCCCGTTGTATACACATCTTTATAGTAATTATCAACTTAAAGCTGTAAGACACTCTAAAATTTTTTAAAGAAATCATCTACCTCATCCTCATTTAGTCTCACTACTGTCTTTACTGAACCTGCGAGGTGGGAGTTTGCTTCCCGTTCTGCAGGTCGGGAAGCAGGCACATGGCTCGGTAACTGCACCAGCCCCACACACTGCAGTCAAAGGCGCGGCTGGATCGCAGTGAGATCTGGGCTCCTCCGCACAAACCCCCACATTGTATCAGTCCATCCGAAAAATGGCAGCGATTTCCCCTCAAACCAGTGTTTGTCCAAAAATCTAATTCCAGAGAAGAAATTATCTCCTACAGATAAAATCAGTAGCTTCTTGGACTTATCCCATGTGAAATAAAAATTAAAAACCAACACTTTTTAATCAATTTATTTTAAAAGAAGGCTGCTTTGTGACCGCTCACTAGCACATTTTTGGTGATGAACTTTATTTAAGAAAATAGATAATACCTTACCTCTGGTTTGTCTAATAGAAGACAGCCAAGTTCATAGCAAGCATACGGCTGAACGTATAAATTATTCTGACGACACAACTCATCTTTAACAGCTCGCTGAAAGAACTGGAAGTGAGACAAATGTCATTGGAATGAACAGATTTCCCTAACTGGGCTCATCACATCTTCAGGACACAAGAAGGGGACTCCTCTCATTTCTGTATTCTGCACCAGATTTCCTCTTCATCCTGCTCCTTCATTCCTTCCCCTCCATCCTCCTCCACGTGTGAGAGGCGCTTTGCCAGCTTGTCCGGGGAGCTTTCTCAGGACAGTGTTACCCACCAGCCAGCCTGATCTGCACTGCTTATTTTTACACTTGGCACACTAGCTTCTATCGGTTTTATTGCTGAGGACATCTTTATCTGTCTCTAAATCAGAACATCTGACTTTAATATTTAAAACAGAAAGCACACAAGCTAATACCATCTCTTTTAAGAATTTGTTTTAAAAATTTATTGATTTTGAGAGAGAGAGAGAAACATCGATTTGTTGTTCCACTTGTTTATGCATTCATTGGTTGATTCTTGTATGTGCTCTGAATGGGGATCGAACCTGAAACCCTGGTGTATTGGGGTGATGCTCCAACCAACTGAGTATCCAGCCAAGGCCCAAGAACCAGCTAGTGACATGTGTCTTGACTGTATCTAGATGATATTCAACCATATGATCAAATATGAGCTATTTAGAGCTATATAATAACTATTATACTCCACACTGAAATATCAATTTAAAATTATAATACAAGTACATCAACACTCCAGGATTTAAAAGCCAAAGACCCTTATTACTGTACACAAACTCTCAAAGAGTATTCAACATAACCCTGGGATATACTTAAAAGAAACAAACAAACAAACAAACAAACACTCAGAGAAATCCCAACTCTATTTGAAAATAGTGAATGGCCTTTTTATATATTATGTACCCAGCATATCCTAACCCAGCACCCTTCAGTCACGCATCAGCGATCAGCGGTTACAGAGTCAGGGACATGAACACGCACCGACCCACGCGATAAACACGTTGCTGTATTTATCTGGGGAAGAGACCTCCCTCCGCTCATCCAGGACTGTGTTCGAGCTTCCTCCTCCTCCAACGAGACTGCCATCTTTGGTAAAATGCTAGTACCAGACAAATGGAGGCAGTACGTGAGGAGGTACTGTAGGAACCTGAACCTCCACTAGAAACCAGCATTAACTGTCCCCAACTTCTAACATAAAGCAGAGGAAGCCCACACTGTCGTGGGGGGTCTGGCTTTGCTCAGTGCACACTCCTTTCTCTTACTCACGAGCACGTCTGCAGGTTCTCACAGTTTACTTTTCTTAGCCGTGACCACAGCAACAGTTTACCTGAACAGCATCTTCTGAGTTTCCCAGACATTTGTGTATGGCACCGAGAAGCAAATACTTTAATCCGACGACAGATGAATCATCCACTGCTTGGCAAGCTTAAAGAGAAGTGAAAAGAGCAGGAAGGAAATGCATTCACTTGCCGCCTTAAATGCCATCAAGAGTTAAGTATATTTCATTGTTCACATGAACTCAGTTCAGAATTATGGCCCCTGAAAATCAAAAGGTTCCCTTCCTCAACCAGTAGTGACTGTCCCTAGTCAAAGAAAGGCAAAGATACGAACTTCAGCGGGCCAGTAAGACTTGGAATTGCATTACACGGTCGCTTGTGAAAGGAGACAACTGGGAAAGACTTCACACTGTATGGTTCCAACTATGGCACTCTGGAAAAGGCAAAACTGGGGGCAGTGACAAGACCCTGGTTGCCAGAGGCGGGGATGGAGGGAGAGTGGGGTGACCCGGTGGTACACAGGGGATTTCTGGGGCAGTGAAACTATTCTGTGTGAGCTACCTGTACGAGCGATACAAACACGGTGAACTTTGGGTGACAATGAAGAGTCAGCATTGGCTCATCAGGTGTAACTCTGGTGGGGGGTACCGATGGTTGGGGGGCAGTATGTGTGGGGGACAGGAGGGGAGCTCACGTGGGTATCTGCTCAATTTTGCTGGGAACCTAAAACTTCCCTAAAAAATAAAGTCTATTGATGTATTGCTAAACTGCATCATGTTAACTTCATAAACCGTGCAACAGGCCCTTTACACGTTGGTATGGGTGCTGCCGCAGTCTCTGGGAAGGGGTCGGACTGGACCCCTCCCCTTTAGGAAGCTGTCTGTGGCGGTGGAGGTGGGTAGCAGGGAAGTTTTCCAAGGAAATGAAAAAAGTCGGAATTGGAAACTAGTGGAGAAAAGGAAACATAAAGGAGGAATGGGAGTAATTGTATTTCTATGAACCAGTACGTATAGTGAGATTTAGTAATATTTTACGAATATATACACATACATACACACACGGCTGTATGCTTACATGTGTATTTGCACATATATGTACATACTATTGACTGGAAGGCACTGGAAGAGTTGGGTAGAGTAGCAGGAAGTGAACGTGAACAACAGAACGTGACCCTACAGAAGCAGGAGTTGCCTCGAAAGGCAAGGCTGGGAATACCTCCATATAAACGGCGCTCAAGTGATCTTAAGGAATGTGGAATGCAATTCATGCACTCGCTCATCTGATATTTACTGAGCACCAACTATGTGCTAGAAAGTTCTAGGTGCTTGAAATACAGCAGTAGCAAAATGGAAAAAAATGCCTGCCCTTAAGAAACTAACCTTTTGTGCAGAAGTGTTTAACCTGAAGTTAGAGAAGTATTGGTGCTAGGGTAAAAAATAAAGGCAGGAAGAGGGGTGAGGGTATGCACGCGAGTCAGAAAGGCACAGTTCAAGCCTCCCTGAAGAGGTGGCATCTGAGTCAGGACCCGAAGGAAGTAAGTGGAGGAGGAAACATGCGGATGTTTGAAGTCGCGTTTGCAGGCAGTAAGAAGAGACTGCAGAAGCCCTTGGCCAGCTCGCGCCTGCTGGTTCAAGAACAGTGGCCGGGAGTAAGTATGGCTGGAGCCTGGTGAGCAAGGAGGAAGAGCAGTGAGGGCCGTGGGATCGCAGGCAGAGAGAGAGAGAGAGAGAGAGAGAGAGAGAGAGAGAGAGAGAGAGTGTGTGTGTATGTGTGTGTGTGTGTGACTGCAGACCGCTGAGTGAACTTTTTTACCCCTGGGTCTAACACTGAGAAATGATGTGGTGTGATTTAGTTTAATAGGATCATTCTGAATGCTAATGCACAGACACATCTTTAAAATGGAAGAATGCAGTGGAATGGGAGGGTGGGTAGGGGAAGGGCCAGAAATGGAACCACAGAAAAGGCTGTAAGAATCCATCCAGCCCTGCCTATGAAGGGGGTTACCACGGGGACTCTGAAGACATGAATGCACCTACGTGGGCCGGACGAAAGGGGCTTCATAAGTGCGTATGATCACCAGTTCCCAACACCAGTTTTTCCCGACACTGAACCTTTGTCTACGAAGACCTCCCCTGCACTCCATATGCAGGAATCAACTTTGCGTCACTACTGCTTAACACTGGGGAATGGCGTGATCTCATTAATAGGTCTGAAAAGTGGGCAAACTTTTAACAAAGATATGAAAGCATTATCTCATTTTTGCTCCCTCTCCGCAACTACATCTTTGTTATTTATTGGATATCCAGAACAGGGTCCAGGGAATATTGACTCACATTTAGTGACACTCATACTTGTGCCTGTCGATTACTGCCTATTTTATACTAGCAGTTTGTTTGATTATTAAATGACATACATGACTTGCACTAATTTCACATTCTTTACTGTTCCTTTGAGTTACATCAGTAGATGTCCAGACTTGCGTCAAGAACTAGGACGGGTTTCAAGTTATGCATATCTTTTAAAATGGACACAGCAGAACTTGTGCACCCAAGAAAATTTCATTTCCTTTCAAAGAGCCCCCCAGGAGGGTTACAAGCCTACTCTCATTTCAGGGCTCCGTGAACAACTTTTGGAGCTTCAGTATTTTGGTCTTCAGAATATCAACACTGAAGAAAGTTTTGGGCTTTGAGGGTAGAGACTGCAAGGAAGTCTCATGATAAAAGTATGTGATTCAATGGAAAATGCTGGATTTCGTCAAGAACAAGTAGGAGTGTAGAGAAAGCTGACGCATTTTTTACAGTGACTGGCAACTATATATTTTTAAATAAATCCAAAATGTTAACACTAAATCTGTTTTGGAAAAAGGCAGCACATATGTGAATAAGCACACACTTCCACCCATAACTACTTTCTGTGAAACCATCGTTTGGGATGCAAGGGTTTGTGGTTTAGTCTCATCCTCCAATCGCACTCCTGGCTGCGTGATGCACCTGCCCGCTCCGGGGAGGCGGGGCTGCGGTGCGTAGGGGGCTGGAAGCTGCCTGGTCCTCAGACCTGCAGCATCGGTGCCGCCTGCGGGCCCGCCAGGCCCCTAGCTGCTCCGGACTTCCGGTGGCTAATGATAAACTGGGTGGGCAACAGTGTCTGCCTTTCCTGCCGCCCTGTGTCGCGATGTGGAGCAAACTATGTAATTTCTGAGAGTATTACATAGTAATATCATTCAAATGTCTGCATCAAACCTTTAAATGCCACAGTATTTAATAACCAGTAATGCACTATTTTAGGTAAAGGTTTAATTTCTTCTGTGAACTTTTCCTTCCATGTAATAAAAATGACTTCATGAAGGTTATACTGCCATCATCTGTGGATTTATGCTTTTTTTAATCTATGCATCAAAAGTGTAGGCTTCTAATTACACTCTTAGGTTATTTACTCAAGAGAAATGAGTGTGTGGTGTTCAAACAAAAAGCTAGTACAGTTATGTTTGCAGCAGGAGAAGCCAGACACAAACCCAGTGTCCATGAGGAGAATCAGTGAGGACTGCAGTGTAAGCAGAGACGTCCAACGGAGCACCACTCGGCAAGTGACAGGACGGACCACCGACTAGGGCTGCACTGTGGGTCAAGCTGGCTGGTTACAATAAACAAAGCCAAGCACTAAAAAGCATACACTGTCCGTCCCACTTATGTGAAGTTCAAGAACGGGCAAAAGGAACCTCTGGAGAGAAGCGCTTGCCTGGGGGTGGGACTGACTGGGAGGGGCCCCGGGGAGACCTCGGTGGTGGGAATGTTCTCTATCTTGACTGTGCCCACGGATGCTGCGGTGTTTGTCAAAACTCACCGAACCCTACACTTAATATCTGTGCAGTTTAATGAATGTGAATCAAACCTGTAAGAAACAAAGGGCCTTCATTGAGAAAAACACACTTCCAGCAAACCCCCCCCCCCAGGCTGTAGGACAAACACAATCAGGGTGTGGCACCCCGCACTGCGGACACAACGAGCCGGTCTGCACACTCCAGTGCTTCCCACGGCCAGCACCTGAGTGCCTGAGTTCTCTACATCACTGCCCCATCACGCCAAGAACGACAGGCGTATACTCTGAATCAGATAATACTAATGAGAAACTGAAGGAGCAAGCTGATGTGTGTGCGTGTGTGCGCTCACCTTGACTCATCCTCTGCAGGTTGGCGAAGGAGCAGTTGGGGAGGGCCTTCCACAGATACAGCACTTCGATGGACGCCAGCACGCAGAGCGCCCGGGTGGGCGTCTGCTTCCGGAACCTCTCGGCCTGCAAGAGGCAGCAGGATTAGTGTGCTCTGGAGACATTTAACAGTACACGGTTCCTACCTGACATGAATGACCCGTCACAGAGCGAAAAATGAAACATTTTCTATAAAAGTCTTTGCTTTCTAATTTTTAATGTGTCAGTACACATGCCTTTTGCTCATTATTCAACTCCGTCTGTTATCATGTTTCAGGATTTATTCTGAAAATTCTGGGATGAAACTAGATTTCAGTTTAAATCAAAGGGATTTGTAAAAGCTGGGTGACAATAACTCAGTGGGTTTATAAGGAGGATGAAGCACTAGGTGACTTTTAGTTACGGTTTTCCCGAATTTGGAATCTTCTCCAAGGTGCAGCTCTCTCAGTGGCGTTCCCAGCACAGCCTGGTCTACACTCAGACCACGTCACTAACTGCTCCTTCAACACAAACTTACGAAGTTAAAACTGTGGGGTGTTTAGGATATGACAAGTTGTCGTGTAACCCACGGTAATTCGGCTAAATTTTATTCTTAAAAGTGTAGGATAATTTATGGACACTCTCCCTACAGCCCCGGGACTTTGCATTGGTAAATTTGATGCAAACTAATTTTTTTTAATTAGCTCAAAATGTGGTGTGTTCACCACGCTGAGAAGCAACAGTCTGGATGGGGTCCGCCGCTATCCATTCTTCGGGAACTGCCGCACCCTGGACACGGGGGCTTTCCCTCTTCAGATGCACGTGAGCTCCACAGGGTTAGTAATCACTCCACCCCCTCAAAAAGCAACTGCTTTAATCATCTGCAGCAACACACGCATCTTCCGCTCAGAGGAGAAGCACGACCAAAGGAGTAAATTCTCTCCACGGTGGGGCCCTGCATTTGTGTGGCAAGTTGCCAACGTTAAATAGGCTCGCCTAAACCTGTCTAAGGTAGAGCTGGTTGCGACGCCCATTACAAACAGTGCCCCACGTCAGCACGCCCCAACGTACCTTTTTCACTGAGAACTGTTCAATCTGATTGTTTTTCCTTTTGAAGAGCTTCTGAACTTCTTTAAAGACAATCTGTGCCCCATCCACATCACCGGTGGCTCCCTGACAGACTGGAAGAAACCGTCATTATATTTCCTAAGTATCTGGAGGAAAATGCCACGAAGGGTCCCCTAGGTGGGTGATACTTGGAAATGTTACCAATGAAAACAAGGAAGCATCCTGCGGATCATCCTTCTACTGATTTAGCAACTGTTTCCAGGTGCTCGGTGCCCAGAGCTTCGGGGGACATGTGGGAAGGTCACGGTCCTAGTTTTTCTGCTGGGGAGATAGCCTTGTAGGCAACAGAATCATAGTGTGCAGTTCAGGGGCAGCTCACATGCTCAGGAAGTGGACTAAAAAGGAAACTAGGAAAAAGCAAGGAGAGGCCAAGAGGATCTTGAAAGCCTCACAGGAGAAGAACATCCCTGTGCCTGGAAAGAACGTCATGAGGACCCTATAGGTGTTCATTGGCCCAGACCACCTGCAGACTGCCAGCAAGAACCACACATGCTCGCACCCTGAAGAGATGCGGGTGCAGTTCCAGAGGTGAGACACACACACTGTCTGACCGCTACCGTGTGCAAGGTGGTAAGAGTCTTCAGAGAACCAAAGTGCTTTCAGGAAAGCTCAGAAAGAGCAGGGATCGCTTCTGTTTGGCGTGATCAGGGAGGCTTTGTGGAACTAGCTGTCAGGCTGAGCCTTACGGATGGTAAGATTTTGAAAGACCATCCTCAAGCCACCCCAAGCCCCAGGCAAAGCTTTTATTTAAAATGAATGAAATTCTGATACATGTTACAAATAGATGAACTGACAACATGCTAAGTGAAATAAGACACAAAATTCTGTGATTCCACTTATATGGGGTCCACAGAACGGTCAAACTCACAGAGAGCAGAGTGGTGGCTTTCGGGGGCTGGGGAGAGGGGACCCTGGAGTTACCACCTAATGGGCACAGAGCTCGAGTTTGGGGTGACAACGCAGTTCTGGAGGTGCACAGGGGTGACCGCTGTGTTAAAAAATATGGATGTACTTACGGCCACTGAACTCTACCCTTAAAATGGTAAAAATGGCTGAGACAGATTTTACATTCACATCTGTTTTACCCCACGCACAGAAAACCGCCCCACAAGGGAAGAAGCCTACGGCGGCAGCGTTTCAGGTACCGGAATGCCCGCCCCCTCCAGCTCTGCCTGTCAACATGTGCCTGTCCTTCACCACCAGCTCAAACGGCAGCTCCCGCAAGGTGCTTTCTCTGACTGCTTGACAGCGATCCTTCCCGCCCCGCACCCTCTGTCTCAGAGCTATTCGCCCACCTCCCATCAGGGTCCTCCACTCTTCACTGTCTCCTACAGCCGGCACAACCCTGGGACTTTCTGTCTTTGGAGATAAATGCTGCTCCTTAGAGCCGCCACGTACGTTTATTTTTTCATGTTCTGTGCACAACTAGATCAAAGAATTAGCTGCCCACAATCGGCTGCTTGACCCAGGTACACCTGGATAACTGCTGGGTCACTGTGCAGGCCTCACTCACTTGGCTCATCTCCTCAACGTGTTGGGCCCACGGAGGTCATTGGATAAACAGCTGATGCTTTCATGGGAGATGCCTGAGAAGTCTATGAAATGACCCTTAAGTGGGAGACACAGTATACTAACCAGCACATTGAAAGTAATCCTGTTCAGACACAAGCTGCAGAGCTGTATGAAAATGCATGCCCTGCTGAGACCGCAGCAGGGCTGTGGGTGTGGCAGGCTCCACCCTGATTGCTAACGACTGCAGCTTCAGGACACCCAGTGCATACCTACTGACCACTGCCCATTCCACCTTATTTCAAATAACCAGTTAAGGGGATGGAATGAAAGGAGATGTTTCATTAAGCCCGAATATTCAAAGAAATAAAGAGATATTTAAAATAATGTTTGGGCCAGCCCTGAATTTTAAGTGAAATAATCACTTATATGGCTGTATACAGAGAATTCATCATCAGAAGCAGAAAATGGACAACCACCACGTGGGTTTCTTTAATTCCCACCTCTACAATTCCATAATATAACAATAGCACTTAGGCACCTCAGGGCGCAGACAACCCTTTTGTCCACCAGGTGGCAGCATATCTTTAATTATCTCATACAATGGCAAAAAGCCAAGGGCCTCACATCCATACAGAAATTACACAGATGTTTCTGCTATAAGGTTATGCAGTGTTGAAATATCTTGTGTTCTGCACAATTACACTGTCAATACAGCAGGACGAACAAGTAAAAGAAGATGGGCACAGACCACTCAAAATCTAGGTGACTTGGTAACCAAGGCACTAACAATCTTAAAGATATAGACACAATCGCAAAGACATGTTAAAAATATATTTTAGAAAATAAAGCGGAGGAACACCATTGAGGCTGCTTAGGGAAAAATGCACCACAATGAGGGAAACCTTGTGATAAGCATTTCTGAGACAGACAGAGCATGTGACCAAACCAGCCCGGAGAGGGATGGAGGGGAAGGGGCAGAGAGAGCCTTGCTGAGTCGGTCAGGGGCGCTGCACTCGCTGCTTCGTGCTGGGCTGCACGAAACATTCGGCGGGGAGAACACAGCCTCTGCCTCTTCCTGCCGTGATTCCCCCGCCTGCCGATGCGTGTGAGCTCACTCACAGCGGCGGTGGTCTACTCACCCGCAGTTAAGTAGGCATAATAGCACTGGGACCACCTGGACTCATTTTTTAGCCTCTCAAAGGAATCAAACGCATCCTTGAAATTCAGCTCTATCATGCTGCACCAACCTGTGAAAGAAACACTGTCAGCGCGCGACCTCCAGTACTGGCGAGCCTCAGACCCCGCCCGCCCGCCTCCAGTCCTGCTGCCACGCCCTGTGAGTGCTGGTCACACCACATGAGGACTTCCTAAAAATGATGTTACCTGTTCAACAGCCTTATGTGCCATTTTAAGATAAGGCATTTCTGATTTCACAACTAATTATGCCGTCCAAAGGAAAGTGACATAACATAAAGATTTCTATAAAAACACTCCAACCTGCCGCCTAGAGCTGTGAGGGTGACCCAAGCACAGCAGTCCTGGCCCATGAGTAGGTGGGGGCGCAGGAAAAGCAGTACCAACAGCTCACACAGAGAGACCACCTCGAAAAGCCTTAAAGCAAATCACTTGCTCATCACTGATTCCTAGTGATTCTCAGACTGTTGCGAGAGGTAAAGAGCAAGCAGTCAGCAGGTCGGTCGTGGAGCTGAGAAAAGATGTGTCTTTTCCAGATCGAAACAGCAGTAGACTGGCATTCTGGTAGGAAGGGCAGCAGGGAACATGCAAGGAATTTCATCCCCATCATGGTAACGGGACTCCCATCCACCGAGCCCCTTCGTGAGGCCGAGCCCTGTGCCAGGCACTGACACAGCCCCTCTGATCCCACGACAGCCCTGCAGGGCAGCTGACAGTGCACTCACTTCCCCAAGGAGAAAACCTAGGGCATGGCCATCCCTGCTCAAGGCTGCACGGCTCCCAGGAGGGAAGGCGTGAGGATCGGAGGCCAACCCTCTTTCCTGCCACGTTAGTGGCCCCCATACAAAGAAAACTCTGTATCAGGTATATTGGGAAGCAGCTGTGTCGTCTGGGACCTGCCACGTGTACTATGGAGAAGCGGCAGACCAGAATTCAGTGCCCGATTCTAAGGAACAGGATATGAAGTTGACGTATTTTAGAGTAAAAAGTGGGACTGAATATTTTCATCCTGTAATGGACATCAGGGTAAGATTTGAGTTAAATGCTAACTGGAGGTGAAAGGTAGTACTGAACCTGAATAAGAAGTCTGATTTTGCTACTTTTCTCCAGAGTTAAGCTTCCCAAGTTGGGTTCAATGATTTCTAGGCCCCTTCAGCTCCACCACAGGCCTTCAAACTGTGCGTGAAAAAGGCCGCCCAGTCGGGTCTTATCTGGCCTACGTAAATGGCTCACAGCAGGGTTCAGGTTGCATGCACATACATTTTGTACCGGATTAGACCTCCCCTTCCCTCCCTAAATACTCAAGGCATTTAAAATATGATATTGCATATGCAATCTGATATTGCATATGATATCCCAATCTTTTAGTTTGCACTTTTCTCTTAAAAGATTCAGGAGGACACTCGTGTCTCCAGAGGGCAAGGGGCAGGCATCCGGGGCCCCGCCCTGACAGGTGCGGGCCACCTGCCCAGCACTCTCCATTTCCCGGTCCATCTCTCCGCCGGTGGCTTTCGGAACCCCAATTTCCTCTGTAACCCCCGTCACTCCCTCATCCTTTCTTCATTCCTCTCCTTTGAGATACAGGATGTGACCTTCTAGTGATGGGCTGAAATTCTAAAGAGTATGAGCTCCTTATTAAAAATTTCAAGCTGTATTTATGCTTCTCAGCAACTGTTACATAAAAGGATTATGGAATGACCAACGTAACAGGACAGGAAAATTTCAGTTCCGTCAACAAAGTCATCATTGCGACAGCTTTGGGGAAGGAGGAGGAAATATTAAGCAAACAGCTAGCCCCGAGTCTGTTCACAGACCGCAGGGGGGGAGAAGCCAAGGAAGCAGCCAATGTGTGTGCGGGGCCTTCCGTGTGCCAGGCACCCTGCCTGGTCCTCATGTGCTGCCTCATCTAAACCTCAGTGGCTACAAGGGGAGGCAACAGCCGCGGGGGCGCACTGGTGGCCGAGGGCCCCGAGCCAGTGGGCGGAAGCTGGGACTGGAGTCCACAAGCCGAACTTTCTCTCACACTGCACTTTTCTTCTCGAGTAAACGCTGGTGGGACGGAGGAGAAAAAGTTTTGAATTCTAACGTACAGTCGAATACGGAATTTACGAATGGCTTTTTGTCAATTAATTTGAGTAACACTGATAACATCTATTATCCTAAATTCAAAATACTATAAAGAGTAAATTTATAAACATCATTACTTGTACTACGATAACAAAGCCTTATCATTACAGAAGGCGGCAAGCATTTTATAAAGATGCAAACTGAACGGCACTGACGGTGGAAAAGGGTGTGAGGACGGGGGACGGGCGCGTGACAGGAGCTGGACGGGCCGCTCGCGCTTACCGATTTCATACAGACAGACGTGCTGGATTTCTCTCTGGTCCACTGCCAGTTCCAAAGCAGTGTGGAAGGAAGTCAAGGCACTGTTGATTTGACACTGAGGAAAAATGGAACGTAAAGTTACTGGCTAACATCTGTCATTAACACTATAATTTCATAATTCAAAGCATCTCTTTCCTTAGCAGTCATTTAAAGCCGACTGAGCTGTATAGGACATGGTGGCTCACAGACTCCTGAAAAACACTCCCGTGCGTCCCCACAGTCGTCCCCACAGTCGTGGGCACGGAACCCTTTAGTGGGGTCGGGAGAGTCGACTGGTGAGGGCTTGGCCCACGCCGCCTGCCCCTGCAGCCCTCCCCACTGAAGTCTCGTGACGTTCGCCAACCTGGCTCCTCGTGACCAGACAGGCTGTCCAGGCACAGGGACGTTTCTTCCCCCCGTGTGTGGCCACGGGGACTGGGAGGACCCTGGTCAGTGCTGAGTGACCACGAGTGTGGCCTCTGCACCCTCTCCTTGTACAGCCTGCTCACTCCCCCCCCACACACACACAACCGATACTGTAGCTCAACTCTGCACCAGAATGCTCTTCTCTGATGGTTTCTGGCTCTCTTATCTCCTCTCCCAACACTTAAAACATTCTCTGGGAGTCCAGATTACACGTCTGAATTTTGCATTTATCTAGCACTGTCTAGAACCCAGCAGACTCTCCAATGTCTGTTCCACTTATTCCTGGTTAAATACATTGTGCTTCTTTCCACTAAAGATCTCCTTCAGCATCTGCCAACCTGATGCCACAAGCACCTGGTCAGAGCACCTATAAACCATCGCCGGGAGAAAAAGGGTTAGCTCAAGCCCTGAACATGGCAATGACAGCTGTTAAGTGCCACGCATCAGTAATAAATGTGAATCCCAAGTGCTGAGACCTGACACCGCCTGCTTCCTGTGACGTGCCTGGGAGCATTCTCTTCCTGCTCTGCTGGCGCCCACACCACCCATCCCCCACCCAGCCCTGCACACACCCCTCTCTCTGTGCCACCCTCTGCTGCCCTTGCCCACTCCCTTTCCAAAGCCCCTCCATCCCCCACTTCCGCCAGGCAGGGGCATGGAGGGTCTTCAAAGAGGGGCTGCCAGCTTCCCTTGGAACCAGCCCCTACCACATTTCTCATCTTCTTTAGTGACGCACGGTCACTGTGGGAAGCCTCTTGGACACAAGGCACCTCGGGGATGAGTCGGCCAGATCTGCAGGGCGGCCTGGGACTCGGGAACGACGTCAGCCAAATGATGCCAGCATTTCTATAAAGACACAGGGCACTTTCCTCTGTGGTCAGAAGGCCGCACCACGGCATCTGATCCTTCTTACCACCCTCGAATGCTGACGAGAGACGCGCGCCACCGTGTCACTAACTCCCGTCCCTGAGTCACTACACATGCAGTGGAGGGAAACTCCCAGGAACACACGAGGCCCACAGCTCTAGAGCCACACACGCACACTGATTGTGAGCACAAGGCCAAAGGACCAAGCGGGTGGGAGATCGGTCTTTGAAAGCGCCTGTGTGCGCAGAGAGAGGGAGCCAGACAGCCGTCACAACCGCCGCCAACCTTTCCCTCTGTGGAGGGACAGTTCTCGTCCTGCCTCAGACACAGAGGCAATTCAGTGCGTTCACACAGAAACCGCAGTGTTAGCGACTGTCCATTTCATGCACATCCTCGGGTCGCCAACTTAATGGCATTCGACTGTCATGCTCAGGATATTTCTGAATGGGCCACCCGGGCACGCTGTCCCCAGCTGGGGTTTAAAGCATGACTGTAAAAATGACACCATACCCGTCAGAAGACAGATAACTACTCAGGTGAATGTTAATTTATTGGGCAACTGCCATGTGCCTGGGATGGCACTAGGCTCTGGAGATTCAAAAGACTAGTCAAAACAAAGTTTTGAAAGCAAGTTAAGTAAAAGGAAGCAAAGTAATATATGTATCAACATCCCTTCTCTTAATTCTTTCAAAAACTCCCTGAGGTAGACCTGTGTTAGCTCCATTTTCAGATGAAGAAACTTTAGTTCCAAAAGGTTAAGTAGCTTGGTCAAGGTCAATAAGCTGGCAACTGACTAGTATTCAAACTCTTCTCCAGTGTCCTCCACAGTCTGCTTTTCTTTCCAGGGACAGCGTATGCAGGTGTGATTAGGGACCTCGGGATGGCGGGAGCACCCTGGATTACCGAGGTGGGCCTCCGATTCAACCACAAGGGTCCTTATGAAAGAGAGACAGCGAGAGGGGACACAGACGGAAGAGGAGGTGACGTGACTACAGGGGTACGGACTGGGGTGATGTGGCCGCAAGCCCGGGAATGCAGGTGGCCACCAGTGCTTTTCTCCCAAGAGCCTCCAGAGGGGGCACTGCCAGGAAGACACCTTGATATTTCACCCCGGGAACTGGTTTTGGACGTCTGGCCTCCGGAACTACGAGAAAATGAAGTCCTGTTGTTTCAAGCCACCAAATCTGTATAATTTGTTAAACAAACTTAGAAAACTAATAATGCACACTTTTTTAAAAATTAAGAAATTATCGTGCTTTTTCTGTTTTAATCACTCTAATAGAAACATAATGCACTCAGACCATTTTCTGATCTTAATGACATTACCCCCGGAACAAGCATGACTCCGAAATTAATTCTAGTTCTGTTCTGATCACGCACGGAGGAATCGCAATGAAGTTATTAAAACAGTGGAAACGTTTGCCCTTCTTTTTCACCAAAATAATGTGAAATAAAAATGATCTGTGGGAGTTTTTAATGAAATATCCATGACACAGCAAAGAAAGGAAAATTATCCTCAATTTGATACTCGTTTCCCAGTTTAATGTTTTAAAGAAATATGCCCACCCTGGCCCGCAGACAGTATAGACGACAGGCTGGTGTGGAGGAGCCAGGCGGCCAGGCATCAGCAGTGAGCGCCTCAGAGCACACACGTCTGCCTCGCTGGTGCCTTACACACGGACTCGCTGTCATGAAAACCACCTAACGCTTCCGCTTCCTCACTGGTAAAATGAGAAAAACGCTGGCTCGTTTCATCTGCCTCCAGAGGAAACCATAAAGAACAAAAGCACATGTCTTTGCCAAATTCGACGCAGCATATTTACTGCCAAATTAAAATCAGTGTCATTGATAGCGTCACTGTCACCACAGAGATGAGGCACGCTTCTCATCATCCCGGACTTCTTTCCCGGCAGGGCCACCACCCCCAGGCATTTTATGCACCTGCAGCCCCTGCAAAGGAACAGTCTTCTCCAGCTTACTGCCTCAGTGGACCTCGCTGGTGTGTCGGAAAACCTCGGATTTTTGCTCGTTGATTTGCATGTGTCATACTGTTACACTCTCATTAACTAAGTTTTTTTCTTGGGTTTTCCTGGGATTATTAAATCATCTGTAAATAACGCCGCTATCTCACATTTTAAACAGTAATTTAGAACAGACTTAACCAATTGGCCGGGACCACAGGGCAACACACTGAACCCCAGCAGGCACGGGGTGCCCCCTCGCTTTATCCGCCTTTAATGAGGATGTTCTCAAGCCGCACCATTTAGTTTGTTACACATTTTAGCAGATGCCGTTCTTACCAAATAGAGCTCCTTTCTCCTTCTCATTAGCTACTGGTTTGTCTGGCGTCTCACAGCCCATTCCATTCGATGCCACTTGGACATCCCCCGACAGGCAGGCCTGGCTCCAGCCACAGCTTCCTTAACGTGGGGAAGGGCGGGAAGGCGTCTCCTGAGGCCGGGACACACTGGCCGTTGTGGAGTTAAGTGCCGCTAGGTCATACGCACCCTTCAAAACTGCCTCACTGGATTTAACTCGCTCATATCTATTTATACTTTCTATATTTAGAATGAAGATGACCTACACTTCTTCCTTTAGTGCCCACCTCTGTGAGCAGGGTACCAGGTAATGTCAGAATTTCCTGACTTACAGAAAATATTTCCAGTATTTTCTATGCTCTAGAACTATGTAAACAACTAGTTCACTATAAAGCCATGCCTTTCAATGGAATAATTCATTAAAAAATGTTTAGATAATATTTTTTTCTTTTAATGAGCACACAATGTAACAAAGAATATTACATTTTAGACGGTAGTACCACATTTCAGTGCCAGATTCATACCCAACACAATTGTGAACTCTCGGGAATGATTTGTTGTTTATCCCCTCAGGGGATGCCGAGTGGAACTGGGGCGGATGAGCCGGGAACAGCAAAAGAGATGGACAAGGACTGGCCAGTGAGCTTGGAGGAAAACAAGGAGCACAAGATCCCTGCGGCCAAGGAGCCAGGAGAAAATGAGCAACACGGATGAGAAACCCAGACTGGAGCAAATCAGCCTCCTTACAACAGCTGATGAGGATGCTGCGTGTACAGAGAGCATGTTGAGCAAATGCAAAAAGAATCTCAGAAGAGGTCTCTGAAACTTCTAGTTCATAAAACTCCAAACGCAAGAAAGGGACTACCCAATGTGAGCAACAGGAGACATGATAGAGACTTTGTAGACAGGCAAAAGACGATGGTGACCTTGACCCATATCTTAGGAAACTCGGCCGGGAAGCTCAGCAGGTCACTGAGAACCGAACACGGTGCTACTGCTGACTGTGCATGCAAACTGCAGATCAGTGAGTTATACACAGACTTCTGTATGACGGCATGTTACATGAACCCCCATTTGTCCTTTCACGGTCCGCACAAATCTCTGACATGAGAACTCCCCCAGAGCCTGTTGTAAATGACTGGAAGAAACAGATCTTCAACTGGTGATTGCAGTCAATACTCCACTCTAGCAAAAGGTAAACAGTAGTTATTTCTGGAATGCAAGACTTTTATCTGTCCTTTGACGTCCTTTGTAATTCATCATGTTCCCAAATGTATATGCGTTATTTAGACATAACGAGGTAGCTGAAAATGTGTGTTCTGAGGACAGAGCCTTTAAAGAATGCTGCCTTAACAAGCCTGTTCTGGACTCTTGGTCGGCATCATAAAACCTAACATGTGGTGTTCTTCTCACATGGCAGGTAAGATGGCAAAAGTCTCGGTGGCCCCTCGGACAACAGTGTGCT